CAAACCATACTAGTTCCGGTTAGGAGGAAAACACAAAGATGCTCAATGATAAAAAGGGGCAGGAGTGCAGACTGTAAAACACCTGCATATCCAACAGCCGCGGGACATCAGGTAGCCACTACGGGACCACTCAAGGTGGGAAAATGCCTCCACCAGAATATTAAGTAACTGGAATATAACCATATAGAATATAATAGCCACACTCATTTATTACATAGGCAGGAAAAAATAATAGAAAGAATGACACTGACATGTACACAGTGGCTATTTTGTAATGGCAGGATCAAAAGCAATTCTTAAGTTTCTTTATACTTTTGCAAAGTTTGAAGTTTTGCCTCAAAATGCAATAACCAGAATAATTATGTCTCTTACATGGAATTCTGAATATTTGCTAGGCCTGGGCTTACATTCTCTCTTATATTCTTGCTTAAATGCCATCTGCTTGAACCCCTCCAGTGATGGGGGACTCACTGTCCTTTGTCCAGTGATGGGGGACTCACTGTCCTTTGTCCAGTGATGGGGGACTCACTGCCCTTTCAGGTCTTTTTTGGTCACTTCTTTCTCATGAGAAATAGAAATCTGGCTCCCTTTAGTTTTCCCCATAGTCACAGTTCTGCCTTCTGGAAAAACAGAGAACTGGTTCCCATTGACAAGGACAACATTTCAGAGGTTCAAAGGCAGTAACTAGATTCTAGGCTTCATCCCTTCCCCAGCCCCACCCACACCATTCTTCTAAGGATTTTAATGTCCTTCACCTCCCACATCCCAGTGTACTTTCCCTGGGTAAAATCCAGGCAGTGATGTCCTTAAAGTATAACTTTAACTCCAGGCCTCATTATCTCTTTCAAGGGCATCCCACCTGCCAGTCAGGGATCAGGGACTCTATTATTCGCATTCTTTCATCTAATCTTTAGAACAACCCTGTGACACAGAAGCTGGTATCTCACCTACCTTATGAATGAGGAAACCAAGGCATGGAAAAGGTAAGTCACTTCCAAGGTCACTACTTGGATCCTGGAAGGAGCCAAGACTGAACCAGCACCTAGCCCAGAGCTTGATGTGGTCAATACATAAATGTTTGCCAAGTTAATAAACAAATAGGTGAATTCAGTTCTAAAGCTCTTGCCCTCAGCACTACTGTCTTCAGAATTGCCTATGCCAGCCTCTTCCACATTATCCACACTCTGCATTTCTCCCCTGTCACCTCACCTGAAACATGGATGTGCATGGGAAGGGCTACTGCATGACTGACCCACTAAGCACCAGTTGCCAAGGCCCAGCTTTGGCAGCAGTGCAGAGCCTGTTCTCAAAGGTCCTGCTTGGGACTGTGGTGTCACAGCCAAATCCCTGTGGACTGGAATGTTTAGACATGACATCGTCCCTAACACACGGTAGTGTGCCTCCCGCATGCACTCCACTGTCCTACCCAACTGACCAAAGGAGGTCGGTAACCTGCTGGGAAATAGGAAGGCCCCTCCTTACTTCCATGTCACCCCTACACGCAAGCCTGCAAAAAGTTTGTTTCCTTGTCCCCCACCCTCTCTGGCCTTCTCCCAAGTCCTTCTGTGGAACATGACCACATAGCCATAGTCTCTGTTAAGAAAAAGCATTTAGGAAGGACTACACAATCCGGATGGTTCCTAAGCACCCACTCCCTAGGCTGCTAATGACCCCACTCATTCATCTCCAGGATTTCAACTTGTTCCAATAAGGCAGTGACATAGCCCCCAGCTGGCTTCTCAGTGGGATCTAGAACAGCTGGTCAGCTAAGGCCAAAAGGCATCATAGACCACAGAACTCAGTTACCCTCAGATTCTTGAATCTGGAGGGACCTTGAAAAGTCCTAGTGATCAACTCTCTGTTCCTAGATAGAGTAGTCCTCGTCAAAAGTACCAGCCTTATTCCTTGCTGCATGCCACTGTCAGTCTGCATAAAAAATGCTTTCACGCTGTGCTTTTAATAGTCAGCTTTTGCTTGGGCCATCCTCTTGGCCTTGAATGGGTAATTCCTACCAAGCCACCTTCCATACAAGATACCCTCCTGTACCTCTCAAAGTGGGATGAGATACACCTGCTGCATGCTGGGCTAACCCTAGCATGGTTCTTATTTGGACCTCATTCACTCAAACACTTAGCACTTGCTCTGTGCTCTGCATAAGGCATTGAGCACTAGATGGGGAGTGTAGAAAGCCAGGAGCAATTGCACAGTTTTACCACCAACTGGCTGTCTGATTTTGGACACATCCCTTCTCACTGAACTTCGGTTTCCTCACCTATAAAGTGGGGAAGATTCCACAGCCCAGCCTAGCTTTGAGGGCTTTGTGAGGATGGGCAGGATGTGAAAGTACTCTGCAAACTGCCATTCAGGGTGAGTCATTATTATCATGACCTGCTGTAGTCTGAGCTCATTTTTGTCCATTCCATCCTTGAAGTCCCTTGTCCCCCAGGGGACTGACAGCCTGCTGGGAAAGGGCTTGGGAGCTCAGGTCTTCCAGGGGTTGGCACCTAAATGAGAAATTGGGCAGGAGCACAGCCTAGAAGGATGGAAACAGGCATGAACTTTAAACAAAAACAGCCCATAAATCCTGCTGCATGGCATAGGGGCAAGGGCCTGGCATTGCTGGGATAGAGAACACTCACCAGACTTCTCTTAGGCAACAGGGTGAAGGCTTTTATGCCAAAGGGCTTTGTCTAATGTCATCAAGAAGCACAGGGGTAGTGGTGGAGATGAAG